GCATAGTTGCTGTGGATATATAGCACTGGTGTATGGGTTTTTGAATGTTTGGAAGGGTTTGTTGGTGATGTTTGTTTTGAATTGAGTAGATTTGGCGATTTTGCATAGTTTCTGTGGACATACAGGACTGGTGTATGGGTTTTTGGAGGTTTGAAGGGGTTTGTCATGTTAAATTGTTTTGGAGAAGGTTCGTCAGGTTTTGTAAGTGTTTGAAGATCGTTGTCAATTATTTGACGTCTTGTGAATATTAGAAAAATATGTAATATTGAGGAATATCTAAATCTAAGTGTCTTTACTCCGGAGAATTAAATAATCGTAAGAAAATTCTGTAACAGTGTTACTTAAATCTCCTGAAACTCTGTAGCTTTAGAGAATTTGACATTTTCTAACTACTGAATATAGTAACATACCTGGTTGCTCCTGCTTAACAGTCCTGATGCAAAGTTCGAGTGCACAGGGACCCATAGCATATCTGAAACAATTAAAACAGTACCTTTAGTGGCCCAATTCTACCAAGTTACATCAAATAACGTAAACTGTCCTTTACAATTACTATACTTAATTACAACTGAAATTATTACAGTTCCTAGTCACTGAACTAATCACCCTAACCCCAGTCAAGTAACCCAATCAATCACCCGCAACCAATACCCTCCTCAAACTTCCCAAAGCAATTACCGCAAGCAAAACAAAAACTACCTCCAACTTGATAAAACGCACACAAACAAACCTCTTAAAAACTTGAAATTCCATTTCTCTACAACTCTTTCGCTGGACGCACGAGACGAATTCTCTCAGAGCCCGTTAACCAGAATTTCAGGCCGATTACGCGATTAAACTTCACCGAATCGCGCGAAATAAACGCGAAAAAAGATGCCTGCTTGAAAAGAGGGTGGAGGGAGGAGGGGGTAAGTTTCAGCGAAACTCTATGGCGGACTTCCTCGAAACTCGCGTTATAGAAACAATCCGATTAACCCGGAGCCAGGATCGATAATCGAGGCAGCAGCCAACTTCTTTATATTTCCCCGTATACACACTTGACGCGGCCCGCGAACTTCCCGCGGATGAAGAAATTAATTATCCGAGTTTTAACTGCGGCACTGGGTCACGAAAGTATTTCAACTCCCGCAATTAGAGTAAACATGGGCATAGAACGGCGGGCGTTTAAAAGGCCGCGGGTTCACCTGCAAATGAACAAGTTCATTTTTGCTAGAGAGCGGTTCCCGCGGCAGTGGAAACGACGTTATCACCAGGGCTGCTTTTTGCGAGCCGCTGCGCGCGGTAATCTGGACAGTGGGTCGTGTCTAATGTCACGGGTGGAGCTGAATAACACATCCGCTGGAAATGTATGCAAAATTTATGCGAAACGGAGTACAATGTAACTTAAGAATCCTGGAAATGTTTCATTTAGAATTCGCCTTTAATTCCGCGTCGCAGGCGTCCGTTGGAATTTGATTTAGACGTTGTTAACACTATTTCTACTGAAAGTGTCGAAAGATGGCTATTGAGATTTTCACTTGAAATTCTTTACTCAGTTTATTCAGTTCTGCTGTATTGAATTTACATTTTCTGTAATTAATTTGTGCGTCGCTGTCACTAGAGTATATATAAACGCGTTTTAACACTATATCTACAAGAGGAGTCAAAAGATATGTTTTGAAATTTTACTTGAAATTCTTTTCTCAGTTTACTCATATTTCCTGTATTGAATTTACATTTTCTGTAATTAATTTGTGCGTCGCTGTCACTACACGCGTCTTAACATTATATTTACAGAAGGTGTCAAACGACACCTTTGGAATTTTTTAATTAAAATTATTTTCCGGGTTTTGTCGTATATTCTGAATTGACTATTCGACTTTTGCAGAAACGATTATAAAATTAACTATAGGCAATGTCCGAACTTCAGTTCAAAAAGAATAATTGAACTGAGAAAATAATTTTGAGTTAAGATTTCAAAAGGTGTCTTTTGACACGTTCGGTAGAAATAGTGTTAACATTAAAACTACCAGATGGGTGAAAATGATTCATTTTTGAAGTCTTCTTTTTGCAATTATTAAAAGAATAACAGATGTCTCTGAGAAATGATTGAAGAAACTGATTTAGCAATACGCAAACTGAACTGTAAATTAATTACAGTATCGGTAGATGCACTCTTAGAGTTTCTGTAGAAGAAGTTTAAATAGTCAATGTCACTGCTTGTTAGTTTCAGTGTTAAACTTGTAATTGAAAATCTCAGTTTCCATGAATTTGTTAGATTTCTATAGAAGTTTCGAATTTTTATTGATTTAAACGTTGAACCAAAAGATCTAGAAAAATTCTGTAATATAAATGTGGCTAGATAGAATCTCCCAGATTTATTTTAGAATTTCTGCGAAAGATTTAACAAGGAAAATAAATAGAAACCCGATAATCTGAAATGTTCCTATACCTTCACTGTCCATGAATACAGACGAACAAAGTTCATCCCAAAATCATTCTACCGACGGTCAAACACTCCGACCCGCTCCATTTCACTTCAACGACCCTTTCCACCCATTAACCATCCCACTCTTCACCCCCAGCAAAAATTAAACGAACCGTTCGTCCATCTCTCTCGCGAAATGAACAACAAAACACTTCGCCAGCTCCGCGGACACGGCGAAATCCTCGGAGAACCTGGTACAAGACATTAAACCCGGCGCTAGGGCTCGCAACAAACGGGATCATGCAAATTATTCCGTTATTGCCAGATGGCGCGTCGCGACACGATAATCCGGAAAGAGTCGCGCTCCCTTTGGGGCGGAAAGTTTCCCTTAATTCCTTACGTCCTAGCTGCAGCTCGTTCCCGGATGTAACGCGAGTTAAAACAGCGAAAGAAGAAAGGCGAGTGCAGCGCTGGTCGAAGGGGAGGGGGCGCGAGAAAGGGTGCAGGTACTAATTGCTTTAATGAGCAGTGGGCGGCGGCTCGTTCTATAAAATTTCTTTGTGACGCTCGCTCGCTCGGTCGCCAAGGTGCGAGTCCTGGCGGATGTAAAAGGGCGTGGAAGAGGATTCGAGAGTCCCCGAGCGGCAGCGAGGGAATTGAAGAAGCGAAGCGGAATGGGTGAAGCGCGGCGAAAGGAGCATCGAAAATTATTGACGAAACCGGGCCTCGTCTCGAGACAGCGAGAAGAACGAAAAACGTGGACACGATGGAGCGGAAAGCTAAACACCTGGCGTGCGAAAAAACAACGCATCGAAAATACTACGATGGAACGGGCGGAGCGACGGAAAAAGGGGGCGAAGGGTGGGAAACGGGCGGGGGCGGACGGAGTAAAAAATTCAGGCTGCAACTATGAAAAGCGGGTAGCAAAAATGCGGCGGTGCGTCGAAGAAGAAGGGAAGAAAAATGCGGGAATGGCGCGGGGATGAAGAAAAACGGGGTAGCGCGGGGTGCGAGGGGGTGCCGGTGGAAAAGTAAGCACTTTCGCAGCTCGCGCAAGAGAGCAGCCCAGCGTCCGGCTTAAAAAGAAAGCTGAACAGCGGAGGAGAGAATGGAGAGCTGGGACTGTCCTCCGTGGGAGATAGTTAGCGCCACTATTGCCGAGGAGTTGACCAATTACGGCGCTCCCTTTGGCGGGATGCTGCTAATGAGGTTGGGTTGTTTGATCATTGTGATGCTTGCACTTTGGATTCCTTGATGAATTTTTGCGTTTTGCCATGTGATGTTTTGCTGTCTTGACAGAGTTAGGCTAGTGTGTCGTGTCATTTTGTTTGGTTCTCAGGCTGAGGAACGTTTCTTAGTAAAAATATCCGGGGGAAAGGGTAATAGTTAGGTTCTGGAAGATTAGATTGATCGATAATTAGGTTTTGGTAGTAAGGTGTACACGGTGAGGCTACTGAGTAGTTAGATTGACTTTTTGAAATCCAAATATAGAAACTCCGAGAGTGCATCTGTTGAGAGTTTAATTGATTTACAATTCAGTTTCTGTATAGTTAAATAAGTTATAATAATTTCTTACAGAAACATCTATTATCCTTTTAATTAGTGCGAAAGAGTTAAGAATGTCATGACCGTCTAGTTTTAGTGTTAAATTTAATTTCTGACAGAACACTTATTTAACGAATATCCTAGCTCGAGTCTAAAAAGCTAACTATTTAGACACTTCGCTATACCTAGAGAAGCATAATGGCAATCGAACTTTGTCATCCAAAAGAGTACAGTGCCCAAGAACAGGATGCTTCAGTTCGAATGCAACAGACTATTTACGCCATTAAGACTGAAACCACAGCGAAGGGAGCCATGGAGATGAAACGTCGCCTTTGTGTTACATAGTCAGTCGCCGAGGCAGCGTTCAGCTTAAATGGTCCCTTCCGCTCTTTTTCCATCCCCTGGCAGGCCAGCCTTTCAAAAGCCGCGAGAGTGAAAACGCGAGGTTGCTGCGTGATGCATGAGCCCCGGGTTGCGTGCACGTGCAACACGTACGGGGCATAGAATCCTGCACTATCGATAAAGCACGGCTCGATACACCGATCGGTTCCCGAAGTAATGAATTACTAGGTAATAGGGTAGAAATTCTCCTGTGTAACAGGGTTAGGACCCCGTGAACCACCGACGAGCCCGTACACTCCTGTTTGCCGACGTGAACTAGGCCAGCCACGTCCCTGCAAAACTCGGAACGTGTATTTACCCTTTGTGGCGTGATTCTAGCTTCTTTAGAACCGCCGAGTGTACTGAGCGTTTTACAACATCCTCTGGAAACGTCAGTGACGAACTGGGAATCTGTGGAACTACACTTTGCCGGATGTGTTACTCGGCTAAATTGGGACAATGGGTTTGAAAAGTTAATTAGGAAGTTTTCATCTAAGTAAGCGATGACTAAGGTACCTATGACTAAAGCTAAGTTAGATCAACTTCAGGTCTAAGTGTCCTGAATAACTTAGACCCTAGTTTCAGATACCCCAGGACTAGATCAGATTCAATTTACATCATCTCCCAACTTCTAGACCTAACTTAGACCTAGTCCAGACCTAGCTCATCCTTGGTATAGTCCGGAGATCTTAATAACATCGAATTCTTGGATTCCTGATCTAGCTCAAGTTCCATTTGGGAACTAGAGGAAGCCTAATCCCGATGTAGCAGAGACCTACTCTGTAGCCTGTTTCTGATATACCCTAAGCTTGACGTAGCTCTAACTCTAGCCTGCTTCTGATATACCCTAAACTTAACCTAGCTCCAACTCTGTCCCTTTACTCTCTGAACCTTTAGTACACTCAACGAAATACAAACGAAGCTTTGACCAGTTCCTAGTACGCCCTAAGTAAACCGGGATACCCTAACTCTATCAAGGAATCAGAAAAGTAGCTGTGTCACAAGCAACACCAACTGACCCCAGTCAAAATCCCGAGCTACACTCCATCTCGCGCGTTTCTCTCGCCGAACCGGCTGCCTTTATGCGCCGTACGTGTGCGTGCTCCCTGTAAAAGCTGAGGAATGCAAACCCTCGGGGC